TAGAAACACGCTAAAGGCCAGGAGCTGTTCATGAAAGTGTGCGACCACCTGAACCTGCTGGAGAAAGACTACTACGGCCTGGCGATCTGGGAAACTCCCACTATGAAGGTGAGCGTCAGTGTAACGGTCAGTATCCGTCCAACAATCACTGTTCCATTAGCAGATATCATTCACGTCATTGATGATTAGACGAACCCTTTGCCCTGTTATTGATCACTAAAGCTTAAACTGCATTTGACATTTTCTTGATTAGACTTGGATGGACCTGACCAAAGAGATCCGCCGGCAGGTACAAGGTGAGCTCAACTCTGTGTTTGTCTCTGTGACTCTGAGCCTCACGCACAAACAGTCTTTGCTGTGAGTTGGCAGATTAGGTCTGTCTGTCCTCATGTTTTCTCAGTCACAGTGAGTATTACTCTGACTAGTCTGGGTCATTGTTTAATCACTGCTTCCTTTCTTTCTCAAGGTGCCAACTATAATTTCACTTTCAATGTAAAGTTCTATCCACCGGACCCGGCCCAGCTGTCAGAAGACATCACAAGGTACACACATGTCCAGTCTCCCACTAGTGAAAACAGTTTTGTGTCACACAGTGGTGGGGTGTGTAGTCCATGTGTGTGTTTTTAGTTCCCACGAGGATGAAAATCGTCCAGTTTGTCAGCTGGAGGCTTCAGAGCTTTCAGATGAACCCAAGCTGCATCTGTTTCTACCCTGTGGAGCCTCCATGTCTCAGTTTTATTTAACCTTCTCCAGATTGACAGTGGTTATGTATTATTTCAGTAGGTGAAGCGATTTTTCCCGGGAACGAACGACCAGCCTCTGTGAGTCAGAGCTGGATCAAACTTTGATGTGTTCATCAGTGAGCATGCGAGTTTAGCTCTGACTCTGGTTTCCACCATAGTCTTCTGGGGCTTTAACACATCTCACAGCACGACTGTGTTAATCCAGGTACCATCGATCTATGATTAATGTGAGGACTGCATGTCATTGCAGATACTATCTCTGTCTCCAACTGCGAAAGGACATCCTCCAGGGCCGCCTTCCCTGCTCCTTCGTTACTCTGGCTCTGCTGGGCTCCTACGCTTTGCAGTCAGAGCTTGGTGAATATGACCCCGAAGTGCACGGCAGTGAATATGCTAAAGAGATGAAAATGGCCCAAGGTCAAACCAAGGAGCTGGAGGACAAAATGATGGAGCTGCACCACACATACAGGTCAGTCGCCCAGTGGAGCTCTTATTTCATTAGCTGTAGATCCATCCATGTTCTTCCACTTATCCAGGGCGACCACATTCTCACTGGGATCACTGGGATGATGGTGGATTTGAACCCAGTACACTCTTGCAGTGACCGCCGGGCCACTGTCTCACTTATTGCAGAGGATTTATGTAAAGTTCACGAGTTGCTGAGTTCATTAGTGCTTTCTTTCTTTCTCAGGATGCACCAAACTGTAGATTTCCCCACTCCTAATATTGCAACCATTTCTCAGATGAGTTATTTCCGTTTCCACAGTTTAAGGACGGCCTGTTTCACCTGCGTGAGCTCCTTTGACCACATGTTGTCTGTTCTGTTCACTCAAATCAACTCCAGGCCTTATCAATCTGCTTAATTGATAACGACGTAACGGCGTAATCACCCACACCTGCACATGAAGCAGCCTGTCCATCAACTGTCCAATTACTTTACTCTAAAAAGTGGGTGGCACATGTTAAGGAGCTGAAGCTCATAAACCCTTCATCCAATTTGGATGTGAATACCTTTAAATGAAAGCTGAGAGTTTGCACATTATGTCCACGTCCAGATAAAAAACTTGTCAGTATCTCAGGTTTGCACGAAGCCGTTGATCGGTCACATGCGATAGACGGAGAAGTCGCAGCATCACTAACATGTGACACGTGTCTTTGCAGACGGGGAAGTTAAGCTAACAAACATGAAAAATAACTGAACGGTCAAGTTGTGTGTGAGCTTCTAGAATAATAATAATGGATGGCATTTATACACTTTTCAGGGCCCTCAAAGCGCTTTACAATGCCACTATTCATTCACTCTCACATTCACAGTGGAGGCTACAGTTGAAACACTTGTTTCTAAAGTGAAACATGTAGTAAAGCAGCTTCTAACATCTAAGTGTGGATTCAATCAGCGTCACAGAAGCTAAAGATTTTGATTTCTTTGGCCGTCGCAGATCCATGAGCCCAGCGCAGGCAGATCTGATGTTCCTGGAGAACGCCAAGAAACTTTCCATGTATGGAGTGGACCTCCACCAGGCCAAGGTGAGCATCCTCAGCTTATTGTTCCTTATAGACTATTTTTAACTCCAATCACTAAATAGTGAGTAGTGATTCACCCTTGTTTCCATGCTAACTTTGGGAGTAGGTCGTTCACGTACTTCACAGAGAACCTGTCCTCGTACATGTCGGCGTGAATGTGGTGCTCCCTGTGAGAAACCGGTTTGATATGTGGCGTCTGTGCAGCGTGACAGTGTGCACATCAGAAATAAGGTCATTCTCCTCACATCAGAGCAGGTATTAAAAATAAATATAGAGAGCACTTTGAAGATGATACTGCCCCCCTGTGGATGCTTGGACACAGCACATGCACAGTCAGAAAAGAGCTTCACAGTCCAGATGAACTAAATGTACATAAGCAGGTGTAGTGATCCAAGCAGCCTCCTTTAGACCGCTGCGTGCTGACTGGGCTGCAACCATGTTTTCAGAAACTATCATCTCCTGTTTATTTATTTGCGTACATTGCTTTAGGAGTTATTTCTTTCATTCTGAATATCTGTTAGGATCTGGATGGAGTTGACATCATACTGGGGGTTTGTGCCAGTGGTCTGATGGTTTACAAAGATAAACTGAGGATTAACCGTTTCCCCTGGCCCAAAGTCCTCAAAGTCTCCTACAAACGAAGCAGCTTCTTCATTAAAATAAGACCATCCGAGGTAAACCTGTTTGTTTTTCCCTGACGTCCTTCTCAGGTCTGTCAGTCTTGTTCACAGCAGCTTTGTGTCTGTCCTAACAGGTGGAACATTATGAGAGTGCCATCGGGTTCAAGCTTCCCAACTACAAGGCAGCCAAAAAGCTGTGGAAAGTGTGTGTCGAGCATCACACCTTCTTCAGGTATTCTCCTTGTGCTGCATCTCTGAAGGAGCTGTGGCGTTTTCAGATCTGAAGATCTATATTCTTATGTGCAGGCTGACCTCCTCTGAGATGGCCACCACCCCGAGGAAGTTCCTAGCGTTGGGCTCGAAGTTTCGTTACAGCGGCCGGACTCAGGCGCAGACCAGACAGGCTAGCTCTCTGATCGACAGACCAGCTCCCCTTTTCCAGCGCTCGTCCAGCAAGAGGAACTCTCGCAGCCTGGATGGAGGTACGCCTTTACTACAAACTGACTCTGCTGCACTCGTGCTTTTCAGTCTGGCCTACGAGTCCAAACAGCTACAACAGATGTATAAAATGGTTGGGTGCGGCCATGCTGCCATCGGTTTTAGCCAAAACTACCGTAACTCTTGACCCACTGGTGCAATTGAAAAATTCCAACAGTTCCTGAAATTATCTGTGCTTCTTCAGTGATATTATGGTCGTTAGGGCAGACAGATGTCACGGTCTGGCTGGCAGACCGTGGGGAGATGGGGAAATAGGACCCAAACGCCGGACTCTTCAGTGCAACAGTGTTTATTTACAAGGTGGTGAAGTAAACAACAATAAATCCCCAGTGTCCCAGACTCCCGTGTAGTGCTCTCTGCTCCAGTGTCCCTGCACTCCCCGTGCTCACTGCTCCTTCTCGTCCACACTCCTCCTGAGGGAAACAATAGAGGCAGCCGTTACACACTTATCCCAGCAGGCATACACTCACACTTGACTGTGCTCAAAGACTGACGTGAAGTCAAACGCAATAATCCCACGTC